ACTATTCTATGATTCTAAGATTCTAAGAGATTTGAGGGAGAAGGATTTCTGGTTTCCAGTACTTACCAGTGGGAAATTAATTATATGCTTACACACAAGGTCCCACTATTGATCCTTTCACTCTGTGAAGGCCTAATCAGCTGTAATTTTAACACTATATATCACCCAAAGACAACTACATTTTCTAAAGAAAATCTGAAAGCACTATTTAGATGAGAATCTAAAAAAAAACCCAACAAAAAACCCACCAAAACCCCCACAAAATATCTACCCCTGATGGCGTTAAGAAAGTAAGCCTAAATTACAGGCTTACCATTCAAAAGTGAATGGAAAAATATAATAAAAGACAAAGCATCACACTCGTCCCTGTGATAACAAATGAAAATGAACTTTTGCCAGACATGGCTGCATACAAAGAGGTATGAGATACTAGATGTGCATGGTGACTCCACAGTGGGGACCAATTCACACAAGTCCAAGAGACCTCACAAGAGAAAACAAGCCAGGGAAATGCTCCCCCATGACTGGCACCTATGGCTATGACCATCCTATGCTGAGAAATTTATGTTATTGGTATCATCATGGCAACAAAGAACGCAAACCACAAACCTGTGCTTTATCAGCACAGGCCATGTGCACACACAGAGCAAAAAAAAGAGACTGTAGCTGATGTAGGCAGCAATTTAAATACAGGATAGGCAGGCTTAGAAGCAACGGGAGTGGTGATGAGGGTATTAAATTTGTGGCAGAACTTACCCCAAACCTAAATTCAGAGCTCTACATCCTGAGCAGAGAGAGGTAAGTTTTTAGCATGCCAGGGTAAGGTCTCACCTTCTCCAAGAACACAGGTATTTAAAACAACTGTTTGTCCTTCAAGTTGCCTTTTTCTCAGTTCATCAGGCCCTTAAAGAGTATGTCTGCACAGGTGGCTGGAGACAGACATGTACCTCTCTTCACTGTCCAAACAGGCCAGCTACAAGCCAAACTAAACCTGGAAGCCATGCAGAAGTGTTAGCACTGAGTGAGCTCATTAGGCTGCAGGTCCATCATCATTTTAATTTGGTCCAAATGGGACTCTTACTGAGCGTGACGAGGATCGGTTTGCTCTTCCCCCAAGTGCACGTCTCTGCTGACTCCTCAGTGCATTTTAGTTATACATTGAGTCAGACCCAGGAACTCATCCAACTGAAAACCAGGCCAACAGCAACAACAGGAGCAGATTTGCTGGTACCACGTGTGATAGTACCAATGCAAGTGAGAGATCGGAATGTGTAGCCAGAGGTGAGGCTGGCAGGCTGACCCTCTGGCAGGAACGCACATTTATGGCAAATTAAAATGACTGTTCAACCACACCCTCTGCCTTGCAAAAGCTGCAAGTTTCAGTTAACTCCAAGACAGCTTCACATTTGTACAGGTGAACAGCTCCTGGTCAAGGACTGCCTTTGTGTTACAGTTTTTTGAGCCAGGGAAGTTAATGTGCTAGAGATACTTATTTCTAGGTACGTCTGGAGATGCCTCACTGTTTCCATGACTTACTGCTAATAACTTAGATAATGTTAATCTCAATGGACAGCATTTAAATATTCAAACTTCCATTTCTTAAGCCTCCTTTGTGGAGGCATGACCCTTACGAATAAGAATGCTCTATTTCTGATAGTAATAATGGGATAATCATGCAGTTACAGAGCAATGCCTACATTATCCTGTGCAGCAATTCTCCCCAACATTTTCCTGCGAACACAGCAAAACCAACCAATATCTGATCAGTTTTCCCAACCCCACTGAGTTACTATCCACTGCCCTGCAGCTTCTACAAGCCACTCAAATGTGTGGTTATCACACACAAAAGGGGGTCTCTCCCCCTTTCCCATTTCAAAACATGTATTCTTTTTCTCCTTCCCTATGCCCTCATTTACATGATCTGCTCCTTGTATAGATCAAAACTACTCGCCACTGGGGGGGGGGGGGGGGGGGGGGCGAATGGCAAATTGATCAGAATTAGGAGCTTCCGAGCTGGAATGTAAGGGAAAAAAATTGAAAAGTGTTTCTTAGACTGACAGTCTAATGCTGCTGACTTCCCCCTTGGAAAAAGGATCTCTGCTCTGCCTCAGGAATTGAAGTCATCTGTATATGAGAGATTTCTGGGCACTCATTCATGTTGCTCTACTGTACCATGCAGACCAAATGGCAGCCTCTGTGCCTTTGGTCATATTACCTATATTCTATGCCACAATCCTTCTACCCTGTAATCACCATGTCTCCCTGTCAGCACCCCCACCCTTACATCCAACCCCTGAGATCCAGGTCTGTCAGATCTGAACTGAATTTCGGGAAAGCACAAGTTTATCAAAGCTGGCTCCATAACAGATCCTTGAACTCTGTGCTTCTCTTAACAGGCTATGTCCTACCACTTTTCTCGCAGTCTGTCTCCAGATCCTTTTTTTGCTCAGCGGACATGCTATGGGTTTTACATAATCAGGCTTTTCTTACATGGTCTTCAAGATGTTATACAACTACATTTTCCCACCACTAATTTCAACAAGACTTAATAGGGATTAGAATTGAAACCCAAATTGTCAGAATTGAGGAATTTGCACCTTTGTTACAGTATCAGATGCATCTTCAAACATCCTCTAAGTATAGTAAAAGGTTGGCCTAAATCTGCTATTGCTTCATGTTTAATTCAGATACCTTTGAGTGAGTGTATCTCTTCCACCCCACCCCACCCCAATTTTCTATTCTTATCACTCATGTATTGAAATTTATGGTGATTTCACTTAGACAAACACTCAAGTGTTTCAAAAATTTGTTTCTACAAAACTACAGTTTATCAGAGGGAGAGAACACAGCAGATCTGGAGCTTAAACCACTATGCTATAAACAGGGACTTTATGACTTCTCTAGGGCAACCATGAGTGTGATCTTCTAAACTATGTGCTTACTTCAAAGACGAGTACATTACACAGTAATGAACAGACCTTTCACTTTCCTATTCAAGAACATTACAGGTAAGCAGGAAATGATGATGCTTTTGATACAGTAGGTGCAAAAGAAAACAAACTCCAGCAGTAGATCTCTGAACTGCCACCAGCTTCTTACCAAGTGGGGATAAACATTCCCAGAATGCCAGCATATGAAGTACACTCCAAAGTAATGTGTCAAAACAATGTACTGGCCATGGCATTGAAAGCCTCTGAAATGCCATGCATTGTATTACACATTTTAGGATCACCTATCACTTCAGAATTACACTTATTTTAACACAAATTCAACTGAGCCAGGATCAGAGCAGGTATGGATTTTGGAGCACATTTTTTCTAGCCTAATAATGACCTTCACCGATAGCAAAATCTCAGTCTAAACGAAGACGCAAAACTAGTCTTTTGACTGAATTTATCGTGCAATATCTGTGGGTAAAGGGCCTCCCATTTAGTTTAGCTGCCCTACTGCGAGATAATGGTCTGTCATTAGTTATTTATCTCTCTAGTTATGTCCTTAAAAGGCTCCTAGGCAAACATGTAAAAGCAAATTGGTCTGAGTAACAGCATTACTGTAAAGGACTGTGAAAGACAAGATAGGGTCACGTGATTCTAGTTTCTAGAAAACCAAGGATATCCTCAGAGGATCCTGTAACAAATTTTGGGTTAAATCTTTGTGGTCCCACGTGGGCAGCAAGGATATCCAGTGAATTCCCAATCAAGTGACAGAAAACAGCACCAAGGCTCGGAATAAGGAGCCCTCCTCTTATCATTATAACTCTACTGCTGTCTAATACTACACTTTTTAAACGAAAATAAAGATGTATGGGCCTAACAGCTGGAGAAACAAAAAGGCAAGCCTCCCCTAAAAATGTACCGGATTTTTAGTTCTGTTTTCCAGCATCGCGCTGAAGATTGCCCTTACACGGAGCAAGCCCTGCGGTGAAAGGGATCGGGAGCCCCTCCCCACATTCTCTCCTCATTCACAGGGGTGCACCGCGGCTACAACTCTCCCAGGCAGACAGAGAAGCGCCAGCTGGGCTGGGGCGCTGCTCCCAGGGCACCGCCCAGCGCCGGGGGGTCCGGCCCGGTCCCGTTCCATGGACGGATCCCCGCTGCCTCGGCTTGCCCCCGGGGCAGCGGTACCTGCCCGGCACGACCCGGCTCGGCGCGGCCCCGGCGGAACCTCCCGCCACCGCCGCAGCGGCTGTAGCCGGCCCAGCCCCGCCGCCTGCTCCCCTAATTCCTCCCCTGCTGGGCATCATCCTCCACAGCGGCACCTCCTCCTCCTCTTCATCCTCTCTCCCCCCTTATTTCGCTTCCCCCTATGTCCCCCGGCGGGTTGTTACCTTCAGTTACCGTTTTTCCGAGCAATTCCTGTCTCCAAACCGCTGCCCCCACCTTCCCTAGCACACAAGCAACTCCCAGCAAAGAAAGAGAGGAGGGAAAAATAAATAAAAAAGAAAGGAAGAAAAATATTACAAGCCTCTCTCCTCCTCCTCCAGTGGGTCTGGTACTATATATCCGGCCGGGGGAGGGAGGAGCAGCGCCTCTGCTCTGCCTTCCCCTCTGCTGCCTCTCGCACCGGGGGAGGAAGGCGGCTGCCTGCCCGGGGATGCGGACCGGCTCTTCTCCTCCGCCCTGCCTAGCCCCGCTCCGCTGCCGTGCGGCCGGGACCTGGCTACACGGCAAGCGGCGTGTCTGCAACGGGTGCCGCTAGCACGCCAGGCACACCGAGGGGGGGGCCTCTTCCCCTGCCGCCGGCAGCAGTCGGACCCGTGTGTCGTCCCCCCACCCCGCCTCAGACCGCCCCTTCTCCCCCAGTCTCCGCCGCTGCCGGCATCGCCCAGCGAGGCAAAGCCACGTTTCGCTGCCCGCTCCCTGCGCAGTCTGCCTCCGTTACCCTTGCCGCAGGGTACCCGCGCACGCCGCCGCAGCAGCTCTCGCAGGAAGGCAGAGGAGCGAGCGAGAAAAGGCTCCCTCTCCCTCCCTCCCTCCCTCCCGTCGGGCTCCCTTCCTTACCGGGGTGCCGGGGCTCCTCCACCGGCGCGGCCGCCTTCGGGCTCCTGGGGGCGTGCGGGGGATCCTCAGCCCCTCTCCCCGAGCCCCTGCCCTCGGCCTCCTCCAGCTGCCTGCCGTGGAGAGCCGGGGGCTGCGGAGCAAGGCTGGGCTGCAGCCACTGCCCGCGCCCGCGAGGCGAAAGGGGGGAGGGGAGGGGGAACGGACCGAGAGCTTTCTAAACCCAAGACGAAGGGGCAGGGCACGTGGTCCCCCGGGTGTCCTCCAAGGTTATTACACCTCCTTCTCTCCAGCTTAAAGCAGAATTTTACCTCTGTGTTTAAAATGGTCAGGGAGAATGCTGTACACAGAAACGGAGCTATGAAACCGGCATGTTAAGCTAATTACATAATTTGCCTTACAAGCATTGGAAAAAAGAGGGAGGCATGCAGCATACCTACTCAGCCACAAATATCTACCTTTGCCACAAATACTGATTTTCTCACTTGGCTATAGAAGATACACCCTTAGATCTTTTCAACCCAACAGGAGAATCAGCAAGATGTGACACTTTCATAACCTCTTATTACACTAACAGTATGCACAAGCTTTAATTAATTTTACAAGGTTGTGTTTATCTAATTACTGTCTTCAGTTTATTAGCCCTGAAAAAATGTCAGCCCCAGAGAGGTTGGGTAAGATGCCCACTGATGACTGAATCAGTATCAGAGCTGTCAGCAGAACTCCATACACAAAGGGATTAGGTGCTACACCCACAATTGCAGTTCTCCAGCCTCTAGTTCCTTTCCTGACAAGCTTAAAAGCTACAGGTGCCTGCTATTTCCACATGAGAGTTTCCTGTGTGTATGTCTGTCTGACATCTGGGCACTTGTAGTTACAGATTTAGATTAGGTGGTCCCAAGAGCCTTCACATTTTCACCTCATTCTAGCTAGCGTCCTTAGAGCACACATCCATGTACCCTTAATGTGACACCATGGTGTAGGGCTGTAAGACCAGTGTGGACCATAAAAGTCAAAACTGCCCAGAAAACAAGACCATAAAATCATATAATCATAGAATGGTTTGGGTTGGAAGGGACCTTAAAGATCATCCAGTTCCAACCCCCTGCCACAGGCAGGGACACCCTTCACTAGACCAGGTCACTCCAAGCCCCATCCAGCCTGGCCTTGAACACTGCCAGGGAAGAGGCAGCCACAGCTTCTTTGGGCAACCTTTGCCAGTGTCTCACCACCCTCATAATGAAGAATTTCTTCCTAATGTCTAATCTAAATCTCCCCTCTTTCAGTTTAAAGCCATTCCCCTTGTCCTATGATCTGTCAACCACCTGCAGAGTTGGAGTAGGGTCAGATAGAGCTGTTCAGGGAATTCCACATAAACAGGTGGGATGTGGAGTACATTGACTTCAGCACGTATATAGGTGGAAGGAAGACCGGTGCCTTCCCAAATAACTTGGTGCTATCTCAATGGACTGAAACATTCAACAGAAGAGTGGAAGCTCTGGGTTCAATTTAATCTTTTCCTTTGCAAGGAAAAACAACCTACAATTTCTTTTACAGTTGGACTTGATGATCTTAAGGGTCTTTTCCAACCGAAACAATTCTATGATTCTAACAAAGCAGTTTCAGATTCATTAATTAGAAATGCAGCAGGAGGGAGCTTGCACGGAAAGAAACTACAGGAAGTGGTTCTTACCCAAGGAAGTCTCAGCTATTTGCAGACAGTGACTGATGGTTGCTGGGATAATCCTGAGTAAACAGGGGTTTGGTTGCCTGCATCTCAGATGTGTTCTTTAACATAAACATCTGCCTTGACAGACTGGCCAGGCCTCTGTCTAAACTGAAAAAGTCATACCTGAACTGCCAGCTGAAGGCGAGTACTTGGCACAAAAATGGGGAACAAGCAAAGATCTGAAGTAATAGAAAAGGCAGACAGGGGTGGCTTATCTTCAAAGACCATGATCTTGCAGTTTGAAAAATAATCAGAAGGGAAGTTTCTGGGAAGCAAGAATGAGAGGGAACTGTTGCTAACATTATCTTTCTAGAAAGCTTGGTAAGCATCAGTTCTTGCAGGAACTCTTTTAGAAGACGCTGCATAGGAGACAAAATACCTTCCCATCTACAAACCTATTGAAATTCCTTTGTGAAGTTTTGAAAAAGCAGGCAAGCTTGAAGAAGAGCTCCAACTAAGAGCAGGTTAGGACATTAAACAGGTAGCATGTCAGAGTCAGTACATGACAGCTTCCTAGAAATCTCTAGAAAATAGTCAAGGGAATAATTTGGTTAAGGAGATGAAGACACAAGAAAGAATCATTGTAACAGTGCCAACCTGGGAAGGTTACCCTTTGAACTTACGAACTGGAGGTAGTCAGCTTTAAAATATGTCAAGAGCTGGGGGAAATCTAGAGGCTTGGCTGAAAAAAAATGCCTTTTAGCTAGTAATAGTAGTATATCACAAATGCTTAAAAGGAATAAAATATGTAAACTCTCATGGGTACTCTGCCCTCAGGGAAAATTAAAGAGAGAGATTAGCCTTTACTGTTCTTTCTTGAGTAACCCTCTTAATTCGTCATTCATTGCAGTCACTGAGCTGGAGAAAGAGCTGTTGTAAGCCTGGGACTTAGTGCATATCACAGGGATGAGGCATGAATTTGAAACCAACCTTGCCAGAGACTGCATGCACCTAAGCTTTTGTCTAAAGCACTATGAGGAAGATGTAAAAGTAAGGAGGTTAAATTTTACATCAAACCACTATTAAATGATTTGATGCAAAACTGCTTAAGGGAAGATGCCTGGTAAATGTCCATGAAGCTAGTATTGGATGAACTGGAACAGCACTTCCCTCACTTCCTTTGACAATGTGCCCTAACTCTACATCTAATGGATTACTGAAGGGCAGAAGATCAGGAGGAGAATTCAATGTTTGAAACACATAACTGAGTATCTTCAGAACAGACTAGCCTCAGTGCAAAATCCCTCATCTTTTATGCACGATGAACTAAGGAACTTCACAATTGCTTCACAGAAATTAGGGAAGGTTGAGCAGCTTAATTCCTTCAAGCTCAGTCAATAATCTTTCTGTTGCAATTGCAGATCTGTACCAGGTGCAATGATGTCCTGCTGTAACCTGTTGACATAGTCTTAGCGTCTCATTTCAACACAGGCCAGAGCACAAACATCAGCTGGTGAGGACTTGTGGTACTTTCCCTTTTCCAATGCCAAATTCAAGAGTAAGGCTTAGGCATGAAAAGTTTGGTTTTGAATAGCCTATGGATTGAAATGAAGTGCACCTCTTTGGCAGGTTTAACAGCACATACTATCTCCTTGAAAGACAAAAAGCCAAAACCCAAGAAACTCTTTTTTCCTTGAACTTAATTTACACACCTTTACATCGTTAAGAAGTTAGAGAGCTCAAAAGAACTCCAACAAAGCCTTAGGAGTACAAAACCAAGGAAGCACTTGCACAGAATAATAACTTAAATACCTAACAACAATCCTAAAGTCATTCACAGGCCATTAGTGAAAGAATCCTATCCTAGCAGGGGTATAGTTTCATCTAAATGCAAGAGTGAAGTGGTACATTTGCTCATTTACACAAGAAAATGAATTGTGTACAGTTTCTTAAGAAATTAATTCATAGTCAAGTAACTGGCCTAGTTGCAGTTTATCTGTAGTATATCTTAGCTGTGCCAGCAAAAAGATCACACAACAGCTGATCAGCTTAAAAGCCACTCTGTGACAATGATGTCTTTTAATAGATGAAGAACTTCAGTGCTGTTAAAATAAACATCACTGGCAGTAACTCTGTATGGTGCTCACGCTTGGTTGAACACCAAAAATCAGTCTGGTACTCATCTCAAGTCTTAAAAGGCTGGATAGAACATCTGTGACCAGCTCTTGAAAAATGTTACTGCTTATTTTGAGGTTAGCTGTTACCCTGAACAGGGAATTGCTATTAGCCACAAAAATGTTTTCAACAACTTCAGAAATAATAAGCATAGATATGGGGGTTTGGTTGGTTGGTTTGGTTATTTGTTTGATGCTTTACATTTGAGCAAAGCAGCTTAGTCTGAAGAAACAGTACAAGAGCCTGTAAGACCTATAAACTGGAGAAAAAAATTAAAAAATCCCAGTCCTTAGGGCTATCAACTATCAGAAATGTAAGGGAATCTAAGGTTAAAGGTTCATTTTAATACTACTGTTTCTATTTTCTAATAGCAATTGTTCAGGTTGTCTGACTGTTCAAATTTCTGTTATCCCTGCTTTTCAATTGCACTTAACCTTCTTCAACCTGCTTGTAAGCTTGCCTTATTTTAACAGAGAAAAATACTTGTATTGAAAGCTTGAGGAAATCTAGTTGGATTATTCTGAAGAGTGTGTATACTCTCAGATATGAGTACTTCACAGACTGAATTAGGTGCTATGGACATGGACCTCAAAACCAGTTGAAATTGGGGTCTTCATCCTTATTTTCTTAGGAAGATCTGATGCCCTTTACATCAAAAAAAAAAGGAAGTATTAACATTTGCATTCCTACTCAATATGGCTATGTGAATCCTATTTGTTACATCTGAGTTTGTCCTGCTTCCCCAATATGAGACCAGAGCTGAACACAGGAGGCCTCAACTTTAACAAGAGCATCACCAAGGTGAGAAATATAAACTACTTTTCTTCCCAGGTTCAGCTACATTGAGGGTATGAAGGCAGGTCTCTGGTTCAAAGACTTCTCCAGCTCCTGGCTTTAGCTGTGGTGCTGACCTGCATGCCTAGTTTACTGCACACTTGAGAATAACCTATAGGGATGCTGGAGAGAGACTCTTCGTTAGAGACTGTAGTGATAGGACAAGGGGTAACGGGTTAAAACTTAAACAGGGGAAGTTTAGATTGGATATAAGAAGGAAATTCTTTCCTGTTAGGGTGGTGAGGCACTGGAATGGGTTGCCCAGGGAGGTTGTGAATGCTCCATCCCTGGCAGTGTTCAAGACCAGGTTGGACGAGGCATTGGGTGATATGGTTTAGTGTGAGGTGTCCCTGCCCATGGCAGGGGGGTTGGAACTAGATGATCTTAAGGTCCTTTCCAACCCTAACTATTCTATGATTCTATGATTCTAACCACTTTGGCTTTTGACCCATAGACAGAAAAATGGTTTGCTTTATGTGGGCAATGATATGTTCTAATTTCCCCACTTTAGGTCACGCTTACAGGTAAAATGATGCTGTCTTGCGTTAGATTCAGCTGCTATCTA